TTAACCTTATTTACATTGAACCTTATGGGGAAATTTGATTCGGTTCACGACCAATTCGGCTCACAACCAGAATCGTGGAACAAATTAAGTTCATGAACCAAGGTACCATTAGGTATATTATTATAACCTAATAATTTCTAGCTACCATCACTTCTTGGAAGATATTTATTATTTATTTAGGACTGTTATATTGTATTTTTAAATATAATAAATTAATATTTATCTTTTCTGTAAACTGCCCAGAGTTGTTTTCTAATGAGATGGGCAGTGACAAATCTGACATATAAATAAATAAATAAAATTTTTAAAAAGTTTAGCACAACAGTTAAATACAGCTATAGCCTCATTATAAATAGTCCTCGCTTAATGACTGCCCTGTTTAGCGACTGTTCAAAGTTAATGACAGCACTGAAAAAGTAACTTGTCCTCGCACTTATGACCATCGCAGTGCCCCCATGGTCACATGAACAAAATTCAGGCACTTTGCAGCCGACAGGTGTTTACAACTGTTGCAGCATCCCATGGTCACGTGACCTCCATTTGCATGCTTCACAGCCAGCCTCCAATAAGCAGAGTCAATGGAGAAGCCAGCAGTAAAATCATAAGTCACAGTCATGTGATGTCTCACTTAATGACCGCAGGTGATTCACTCAGCGACTAAGGCGGAAGTGAGGTCATAAGTCCATCACAGTCATGCGATGTCTTGCTTAACTACCGCATCACTTAGCAAAGGAGTTGCTGGCCCCAATTATGTCATTAAATAAGGACAACCTGTACTATTAATCTACAAAAACTAAATTGCGCCATTTTTTTTTTTTTGGCAGGAGTACATATCCTCTGTATAATCAGGACCAAACCAGACATAAATGTGTACTTTCAAAAGAACACAACAAAAGTTAGCTATAGGAAAAAGAAAGAAGAGAAGAGAAGAGAAGAGAAGAGAAGAGAAGAGAAGAGAAGAGAAGAGAAGAGAAGAGAAGAGAGCAAAATATACAAGTTGCTTTTTCCTAAAAATTATTGGGAAAAGAATATTATTGGTCACAACTGAGAAGGCTCCCTCACTGAATGTGTTTTATATGCTTTTTTTTTTCTACACGAGACACTAAGAGTCACTGTGATTGAAGAGGCAAGTTTAATAAAATAAACAAATACATTTTAAGCCACCTTCCCAATTTTAACTTCATTTATCTGCTCAGTCAAGTAACATTTAATCTGTTCTGGAGAGTTAGGGAAGAGGAAGAGGAAGAGAGGTCCCTTTAGATCTGCGATGCCCAACCTCCAGTCCCACAACCATATGTGCCTGTCATGTGATTCCCACAGTCCACACAAGCACTGCCAATTTTAATGTGATCATGCATAATATTGATTTTAATTTAAACTTAATTAAATCATTTGTTTCTGTTTACTACCCTTGGCACAACACACAAAAGTCAAGTGTATCTTTCAGCTGTTTCTATATGCTGGCTCCAAGCTTTGAAGATGAAAATTATCAACACTTTGAAATGGTTCCAGAAATGGGTTGGCAGTCAGTGCAAATGCCAAAGTACTGGAATCACATGATCACATCAGCAAGAATGGTCAGAGCTCTCAGCTTTGTTTCAGATTGGCTGAAGCTTTTGAGCTCCCTTCAAAGGTAGCACTATACAAAATGCATTGCATCACTGCAGTTGGGGGACTACTAGGACATGGCTAGGAGATGCCTCACAATTCCTGCCCAAATAGGGCTGAAGCTTGTACATCATTCTGAACTAATAAAAGGTGCTCTAATATGCTGAAGTTATTTGTGCATCCAGTAACAATGATGGATATTTTAGTACTGCATACCAGGATGTCTTACATATGGTGCATTCCTCATATAACAGATTAGACAACTTTCAGCTGGGCAGGAATGCAGAAACTAACCATACTTCTGTATTATCTGGACTCAACTTCAATGTATTTGCTCTGACTCAGTCCATTGCCCTGATCTTCTGGGACACCTAGCGTTTCACATGAATGGCTTAAAAGGAGAGGTAAAGTTTCATGTCATTAATACACTATGACACCTCATGCTTTATTTCCAGAGAATTTACCCTCCTGGTCACATATAAATGTCAATACATTGGATGAATTTGAACTCTGTAGTACCCATATTGCAGTTGCCAAGAAACAGGACCAAAATACCACAGCATCTTTTTCAGGAGACAGGCCTCCAATCATGAATGTGAAATTCTGACTTCACTTAAAGTGATGGTTTAAAGCTAGTAATGACTGACTAGTTGGGATTATAATGGATAATCAAAGTTTACTCTGTGTGCAGCTATTCTGAAAAAAGGTAAACTCCATGTTGGAAATCATCAGGAAGGGCATCAGCAAAATTACATTTCCAATATCTTAATGCCTTTCCACAAATCTGTTCTGCGACAAAACTTGGAATTTTGTGTACATTCAGATTAGCATCCCCCCCAAATGGATATTGTAAAAGCTGTAAAATTCATTAAAAAAAGAAACTATAGTACAATGCTTAAGCAGATGGAGCAACACTCCTGCAAAGAAACATTATGACACTTGGAAATTTAATTTAGGGTGGAAAGAAAATATAGAAAACTTGAAAAAATGTATATGGAGATAAAATGTGAGAAGTTTTTTTCTTGTCCTTTCATAATCCCAGAATTTGAGGTGACCCAATGAAGCAGTTAGAGGGAGACTAATGAATAAAGGTGTCACTTAATACAAGCTAGCAAAATTGGGACCATGATTAATCACTAGCCTCTTAATATGCTAAATAAATAAGTGTACAGTCTGCAATTATATCAGTTTTAAGGTCCTTGAGGGTGGGCTACTTTGAGATGTGTCACCAATCCAGCAAGAGCCAGATGCCAACAGGACATGCCTTGATAAGCCTTTTCCCGTGGTCTTTCCTCCATGAACAATTACATTGAACTAACTGTCCATTTACCTTCATTGATAACTTTAGATTTCTCTTTAGAAAGACTAATATTTATATCTATAAACAGAGGAAGAAAACTCACCTGAAACATTTGTCTTACTTTTCTTCTGGGCAGGTTGACATTCAGTTTATGCATCAACTGGTGAATCTCTTCAATATTCAGCAAACCATCACCATTCTTATCAGCTTCCTGAAAAGTCTGCTTCACCCAAGTGAAGATAAATTAAGGAAAGGGTAAACTGCCTAAATTAAAATCTCTGGGATACATTTTTACATTATTGAAAAAAAAGTGAAAGGCTATGCAAATCCAGTGCATAATGATAAGAGCACAAAGCACAGAAGGCATCAATTTGTTTTTTAAATAGGGGACAATATGCACAAATACACATGAATGGGAAACAAGAAAGGTATGAAGCCACTACTAGTGTTATTTTCCAAAATTATGCAATGGAATGTACGTACAGTATTACTGAACCAGTTTCCAACTGAGTATTCTACAAACATTTTAAAACTAGAGTTTTCAGAATTCCTACCCAGGATCTGGGCAAGTTGGGGAAACGTCTGCACTAACTTACTAAACAACAATGAAAATCAAAGTTAAACCTACAAATTGGTTGGACCTCTCCTTGTGGTAATCCAGTTTTGGAAATAAGGTATCCATTATCTTAAGATAAACGTAAAATGATGCCCATTCAAAATAACCCCCTAGAGATACAATACCTCTAATGATATAACACTAACAAGTCTATATTCTATAGAGATACTACCTTTGTTATAATGGCCTCATCAATTCATAAAAACTACCTTCCTAGATTAACATTCAGACCCCATCAGGTATCAACCACAGGTCCATAGAAGCTCCCCAGATCTGGATATTTGATTAGAAAGACATAATATAATCTGCTAATATACACTGAACTCATCACTGGTGATTTCCCTTTGTGTCACATTTGATTAGCCAGCTAATTCTTCAACTCATTTATTCGTGCATACCATTATCAACTTGCTTCACTTATTGTTCTTTCTAAACTAAAAAACTGCAGCCACTTTAGCTATAACACATGGAAGATACTTCAGTTTCCAGCGTCTTCTGAACAGGGCAGGTGGATTTCTTCCTAAGTGGCTGGGTTCACAGAAAATACTCGACTGAAGGTCACAAAGCACAATTACTATGTTGGCAGAAAATACTCGACTGAAGTTCACAAAGCACAATTACTATGTTGGCATAACATGTTGTACCAAAACAAATTACTACAAATCCCTTTTAGCCTAGTCTAATGTGTTGCTTGTTGTCTATAAAATGACAAAGCACATGTTAAGTTCAGCAACATGTAAACAGAAATTGGCCAAGCAAAGGGATTTTTCATCCTCTTCTGGATGCAGACATTGAAGACAGATGAGGGACTACAAGGATGATACTTTTCTTAATTCCACTAATGGAAACAGTGCTGTTAGAACAACATTGCCATGCTCAACCTTTATGCAATTGTTTCTCCCACTACCATCTTTTCACAATGCTGGAAGAAATCCTTTGGCTTCACTACTGTCCAAATCAGAATTCCCCTCCCCTTACACAGAGCTTTTCTGTTCAAAATAAAAGGAAATTACACTGGGAATATTCCTATGACTAATGGGGATACTCTTTCTATTGCAAATAAACACACAGGGAATTATTCTGATCTGGACCATAAGATGGAGTGCTTAAACTTCCTCTCTCATATCATTGACCCAGTTTAGCTTTTTACCCTGTTTGTTTATTTTAAACAAACAGCTCTCCATGGGCCAATTCTATGACAAATGTTGCATCTGGTTTGGTTCTTTCTCCACAATTTAATAACCGATTAATTCCAGTGAATTTTTCTTCAGTTGGTCCCTGTTTATTTCTGACAAAGGGGAACAGAGGCATCTTCCTTATGAATCCATACCCTTTAGTGACTTCTATTATGTTCTACTCCAGCTGGAGCTGTTATACGGGTCATTTCTCCCTGCAGTCATTCATCTGCCAGAACTGATCATGCAAACAAGACTTGAAGAAATATTTCTGCATAACCAAATGCATGGCAGCCATGTGAAGCCTCCAAAAGTCAGAAAGAAATATAGAAATTACACAAGTAATTTATGGAGTAATTTGCCATAAAATGATGGCAAGTGTTTCTCTGCCTTATGATAACAAGAGCTGAAATTCAAAAATGAGAATATCTGGCATTTTTTACTTTAGCTTGGCAACTTGGGACAAAGCAGACCACTTCATGATCCAATATCCTCACTGAAAAATAATGTGCTTTCCCAGAGTATAATCTTTTGAAATGAAATATCTTTGCCTCTAATTGTTGTACTTTTTAGATTTCTCCTTAGTTTAGCATTTATGTGGTCTTTAATTAAACAGGGTGTCCAAAGTTACCTTGTATTCTCTCTCTCTATCATACATACAGTGCTTTGTCTCTGAGAGAAACTCTAATATGTGTAAATTTGAGTTAATGATTGCTGCCCCTTTGTTCTAAAATGAATTGCATGTTCTTGTTCTTGTTTTTGTTTTCAGTGTATGGTTATTTGTGGAAATGGACAAATACATTGTAATATCTGAGGAAAATGCAAAATACTCCGTGAATAATAACCCAACACAAATGGGCATTTAGTATCTTGTAAAGCCACCTGAATAGATGCTACATAATGCCTAAAGATGTGATGTGATTAAAATACAAAGTCAATTGGCTGAGGAGGACCTTGAGAAGAACTGTGTATTCACTATCTCTCCATGTTTCTGTTTTATATTCTTGCCATGATTAACAGAAAAAACAAAGCAGAATCACCAAGCTGATTGGCCTCATTCTGCATGCTGTGAAGGCAAATAAAGCCAGCCAAATAAATAAATAGAAATGATATGAAGGGATAAGAATTACAGGTTTCCTCCAAAGCGGTCAATCAATACAAATTAAAAGACAGGTCATACTTTCATATGAACACAGATTATCAGGCTCACCAGTTTAGGAACTCAATTGCTGCTTTTTTCTAAAGAATCATTAAAGACTACATTTGATTACAAGCAGATGATAGCCAATTAGGACAATTGATCAGCGCCTCTCTGTTATTCATTAAAGTACTCCATTGTTTCCAGGTTTCTGCTTCAGTCTAGGGGGAAAAAAACCCTGACGATTGCTTTATGAGCCGTATTAACGAGTCAACTCTTGAAAGTAGCTAGATCAATTTTTAGATTTACACAAAAGCTTGAAAACAAACAAATAAATACAAATTAAATATTTATTTAATATACAGCAGAGAAGTGTTGTGCTCATGAAAGATCTAAAGCAATTCTTCTACATCATTTTTGAAGATTGCACAGCCCTTAGAAAAAAATATACAGTAGTATTCTTTTGCGCAGAACTGATCATTGAGGTCCATTTGGCTATTTTGTAATGGTTGATGGACCTGAAAGGGTTGCACCACATTGTCACTCTACAAATGTCTATAATGAGAATCACCATTGAAAGTAGACCTTGTATATGCACTAAAGACAAATCAACCAGAATCACTATATTCCTAGAATAGATGCTTTGAAAGGATATTGATCATGTGTTCTCTGTCTTTTAGCAAGAGAGTCCTCATCACTTATCCCAGCCATCAAATATTTCAGCCCAGTGATCCAGGTACGTGCTTCCTCTGAGTTAGAAGTTATCAGATCCAGTGATTCCATATGGTTGCCATGATAAATTGTAAAGCAGCAACTTGGATCAAAGTTGCCCTCTGCATGGCGATGGAATATTTCCGATTGCCGACCTTCAGTGACTTTGTAGATAGAATCAATTATGACTGTAAAAACAATAATAAAACTGTATGCTTCAGTTTATCATATAATTTATTGCAATATTCTGTTTTATGTTAATGAATTAATTTGGGAATTAATTTATCCATGTTAATGAATTAATCCAGAAATGCACAACTTCTGTCAATTTAAGAACCATATGTGGCTTGGCATGTCATGTCAAGGGTTGCATTCCAAAAGTGGCTTTAAGCCTGAACCCATTCTTGTCCCACAAAATCTACCAAAAATAACTCCCAAAAATCCAAAAAATAAAAATGAAATATTTGACCCATGTAAGAGGTCTACACTTTTTGTGCCCTAGATTAAAAAAAAAAAATCTATGGAAGAGACAAGCTGTAATAAAATTGCAGCAAGAATTATAGAAGACTTCTTATTAAATGACTCCAAAGACATGAGAACTAACGGGGGACACATACCCACACACAAAAGGAACTCTGCTTTATTCACCAAAACTATGTAAAAAAGAGATGAGTAAGGCATGACTCCCTTTGACATACAGATGAAAATATAGAATGTATTTTCCATTATAATCTCATGTACATCTTATCTGTTCACTTTCTTAACTTATGAATAAAGAATCAGAAGAGGACTGGGGATCAAGTGTTCCCTTTCCTGGGCCTGCCAGTCTTAATCTGAGGCAAAGTTAATATTGGCACCAAGCTTAGTCATAATTATTCCTAGTGAAGGACTTAAGCTGAGGGAAAGAACTGACACCCATTTTTAATAAACTGGGAAGGTTACACATGCACTTGGAAATTAAAAGCAAGGAACATCAAAAGATATACAAACTAAATAATATCTTCAAAGGAACTTACTTTTTGCCTTTTCACTTTTCCTGGATGGCCTCCATCTGATGCATGTTCTGTGCTCATCAAGATAAAAAAGACGCACAAGACCTTTGGCTCCATTCTTCAGTTTAATCATCTGAGTCCCAGACTGCATTACACTCATACATCTTTCAACTAAAGAATGAAAGATTGCAATAATTTTAACTAGCATCCCTAATTTACTCTGATGGATAATTACTACAATAATTATCTATACAACAACTACATAAATCTTTTAATTTTTACCTTACATGAAATAAAAAACGATTAAATGATTATAAACACATGTAATTCTGGAATGACTAGATTTTTGTGGATCTTTTTTAACTGAGCACAGAAGACAAGACAGTTTGTAAGTATCTTTTTTCTAATACATCTTTCATTCTCATAAGCATCTGATCATCATACAATTCAGGGTATAACATTTTTCCTAGGCTTCAAGATGAGATCAGAAGAAGAATCTGGAAAGAAACCTTACAGTGCATCATTTTCAATTCACAAATGAAATTTGCACACACACATGAAGAGTACATGAACATACATGAAATCCAAGGTAAGAGTGGAGACATTCTTTCCCTTGCTTCTATCTATGTACTTCAGTCTCTCTCATTGCCCAGTTCCTTTTGTCCAGTTTTCATGGTTTCACTGATCAGTGATTTAATCAGAACTGAGCAGCATTCTTTCATGCCTTCTTGTATGGTAAACAAGTCAGTAACATTTTCAGGAGGTCAGCACCATCATGGGCAGAAAAAAAAAAGCCTTAAAATTTTCAAATGACCAAAAATAGATACTAAAACACACAGGAGTTCCACAATTTCACTGTTGAGATTTCATAAGATCTTATAAGAGAACAGTGATAGTCCATAAAAGAAATCATCAGCGTTTATTTAGAACTTCTCTTTGATTCACTCAAAGGCATGTTAACAGCAGAGAAGCTTATTCATACATCCTTTCATTGGCAAAGAGTACATATTCACAAATATGAATAAATCAAAGACTATAACAGGATACAGGAAAAAAACAGATCAAATCATGAGGGAGTAATCAGAAGCAGAAAGGAAAATACATGCATTCTGTGATAAACTCAGTGGTGTATTGATCAGATGGGTTTGCTTTACTGTTTGATTCAAACAGTTGGAAATTATGTATCACTGTTGTTCAGTGATTCTAAGGTTCAAGAATAAACCAGGGAATGTACAGTCTTGGAATATACTATCTTAATGAATAAATAACCTGAGTCAAAGGGATCAACTGGTACTCTCAATTAATATTTCAGAGACTGACATAACATTTAATATTTGTATTATTGTTGTTATTACCAATATTTATAAGCCATCTAATTCCATCATTCTCTTGCACACTCATGAGGACATAAAATGTGTATATTTGTACCTATAAAAATAGCTTCTAAATAAGTATATAAATTCTGCAAAAGGTCACTTATTCAAAGCAATACAGTCCAAGATGAGACTCCATATATGAGCTCAGCATATGGACATATATAACATATATGCATATTATATCAAGCACCTTTATATTTTAATCACTAACCCAAACATTACACAAGCAAACAATTATGCATACTTTTAAACAGCACTAACATATACTAACATATAGAGAGTTGCCAGATTCCAGAAGACTCAAAACTTCACAACTTCTGCTTATGCAACAGGACTTCCCCCTCCATTTTTCCCTGCATTTCCTAAAAAATTATGTCATTCTACCATTCCATCAGCAGGAAGGAATTAAACCTTTGTACTTCACAAGACTTCAGAACTCGGTGAGCTCACTTCTGCTGTCATTCAACATGCTTTGCAAACACAACAGAACACAAATGGATATTTTTGGATTGATGAAGTTTTTTCTATCAGGCACACAAAAAATGGAAAGAACCATTGCTTTTGTAGAGCATTAAGTACACATCCTAGTCACAAAAATTCTAAATTGAACTAAAAAAAACCCTACCGATACCCTATTCTAGTTACATTTCTGCTAAAGCAAAGCATTATCAAAAGCCACCCATCAAACGTCTGGCTATACATTCTTGAAACAACCCAAAATCATAGAAAATTGGTATCTTCTTGGGGACAACAGACTTTTAAGTAGCAAAGAAAGCGAGGCGTTTAGGTGATTGTATGCACATTTTTACTAAACCTCACTGAACATGGTAAGCCTTACTTCCAAACAAACAGGCACTGGACTTCATACCTATGCTAACTGTGACTTATCTTCAAGCAATCATACATAAGATTAAGTATGACTGTATAAACCCTTTAAAAAACATGCTTTGCAACAATTTTTCACAGTGCACAGACTCACACGCAGAGTCATCCAGAAGCATTTCTGAAGCATCTGGATGACATGATTTGAATAGCGCTGGTTTGTACACATCATTGCACATCACAAAGAACTTTATTCAAAGTCTCTACACAGCCCTTGCCATCAGAAAACATTTTGAACAATAGTTAAATTTCACTGTCTAAACACAAATCACTAAAATAACTGGAATAAAACATTATTTGCCATTTAAATGATATCACTTTGACAACATGCCTGAGTTAATCAAAAAAGTATTTCAAATAATTTCTTAAAAACAAAACAGATTTGAATGTCAGCAACACCAGCAGAAATATCTAGTTTAGAATCAATGTTGCAGCCCTTATTCCCAAATGTCCCCCCAAGGCACTTTGGGTATCTCTGTTCAGAATCCACCACCTTCAGACTGAAACTCTAAAAAAGATACCAACCCATTTGGGTCAAGCGACACCCTTGTGAAGTAGCTACACTTCCCACTACATGATACATTTCCGAGGCTAGAATGGAAGCCATTGGAAGAAGAAGAGTCCAGATGATGCTTGAAAGCTTTGTAAGAGGCAGGCAACCTTTATCCCACCTGATAAGCAAAGCTTTAGTACAGAGAAAATCAAAAGCTGTTGGACTGGGATTGCTAAACTGCAAGCCTGAGCAGCAGGACACGCATGGCATATTTTCAAAAAGCACCCTAATCTGTGCTAATGCCATCTTCCATTTGTCATTTATCCCTGTGTAAAACGAAGTCTTTAACCTACTGCCATTGCCTTGGTAAGGCACTTGGTATTATGAATTGCATTGACCGTTTCAAGCATAAAGCTTGCTTTTAAGCAGTTTATGCTTCTCTCTGAATCATGCCTAGCCAAAAGCATTTAAAAATAGGTACACATGCATTTTATTTAATTGTACCAGGGAAACACTGTACTACTATTACGATCCCTTCAAAGATCAACTCCATGTACTTTGATGAAGATGTAAGCAATGATCAAAAAGTACACAAACTCTACAGCCCAGAAAATCCACTTTCAAACACAGTATTTTTAAAGTACAATCCCACCGAGTCTCAACAGATGTCATCTACAGCGTCATTACCACCCCAGATACTGCTACTGTACAGGTAGTCCCTGGGTTAAGAACACCCAGGTTACAGATGACCCATAGTTAAGAACGGAGCCTATTGTAGCAAAATTCAAGTTAAGTACACAATGATTCAAGTAAGATACTCAATGGTTCAAGTTCATTACACAATACTGCTTGTACAGTATTATATAATAATACTGTTCCGGCTTACATACAAATTCGACTTAAGGACAGATCTTGGGAACAGAACTCATTCTTAAACTAGGGACTACCTCTATATCTATTCTCCAGAATCACTTGTAGACCCAGTTATGTATATTCATTATTATTACAATATGTAGGTTGACTTCAGTGTGGTACTACTATACTATGTTTCTGAAAGCATCAGAGGTTGAATCCAGAGCAAATTTAGCCTCTGATGGTATGCGCTCAAGCAATTTAATAATTTCAGAAGCTGCACTTTGAGATAGATAGAGAGAAAGAGGGAGATATAAATCTTCAAAGTTGTTTTCCTTAAATGCTAGACAGCTATGTTTATAGGTTGAACCTCATCAAGACCAATTAAGACAGTAATCTCAAGACACTTTATTTTTTCTAAATTAATTCCTTCTTCATTGTGGGTATATCAGAGCCTTTCCATCTTTCATATAATAATCTCACTGCAGTTACCATGTACAAAAACAATTGTCCTTAAGTCTTTTCTAGTTGTCTATCCATTAGTTCCAGCAAGAAAAGTTCTGGTTTCAGTTAAATATTAATCTTATCTCCAGATACTTATATATCCACTTGGATTCCAAAAGGCACTTTGGGAGTTTTCCAGTGATAGGGTGAGCAGTTTGTCCATGAGCCGAGTTAGCTCTAGAATAAGGAGGATGTAAAAGCCAGGTTTGTGTAGTGGTTAAGGTACCAGGCTAGAAACTAGGAGACCATGAGTTCTATGCTCCTATAGCATCAATGGAAAGCCATTCAAAATCCTTTTATAAAGTGACTCACATCCTTTTGGGCCAGGTCAGGTCAGCAGATCTTCCTTTGGAATGGTGTGAGAAGTTTGCAAGGGACTTTATACTGGTATTACAGTGTCAGTACCAGAGCAGATAACTGGGATAACGTCTTGTGAGTTCATCTGCCAGTTGTGTTTACTCTGAGGATTTCAACAACATTCTTAAAGGCTATTTCAACAACATTCTTAAAAAAAAAATTATTGAAAGTTTTAATAACAATGGTTAAAAGAAAATACAAACTAAACTCAGAAAGAAGGGAAAATAAAGAAAAAGGAGAATAAAAGGTGTATAGAAAAAAAAGAAAAGAAAAAGAAAGAAAAGAATAAGAAAGAAAAAAAAAGAAATATTTAAAGAAGTAGCTTCCAATCTTCATCATGAGTACAAACTTAATAATTCATCACCCCCTATAACATTACATGCAAGTATCTCTTTTTCCCATAACCCATCCCTTCTCTATACACAAATCCATAAATCATTAACATTTCAGTCCTAGTGTCAGCAAAAAATCCATAAAGGGATCCCAGAATTATACAAACATGTCTTATTTTAACCTTGATCAAACAAATTAATTTTGTACTCCTTTCTTTCACTTCTAGAAATCCTAATCTTTAGTTCATTCAGATGCTGTCGCAAGACTTGATCTCTTCAATTTTTGTTTTTTTCCATCTCGAAGATTTCTTCAAGGTTTTAACCAACTTCTTTTTTTAGTCCAGTACAAAGTCCTTATCCAGGTCAATTTCTTGGCTTGTCATTTCTA